AACAAGAGTGTAGCTGACAATTTCAGTCTAGAAAACTGATCGAGGCTCGAGTGCCAACCGGATGCAGACATTTAAAGAAAGGAGCTTTTATGGCAAATAATAGTTTATTTTCATTGCCTTTGAAGTAAAAAAAAATGAACATTAATATACATAAACATTTCTTAAGCTACTTTCTAAGTGCAATTTTTTAATTCAGAATAAAGACCTTTATTTTATTCACTGTACATATAAAATATAATTCACTGTATGTAATTTGAAATAAAAATTGTCAAAAAAAATGTAACATTTTGAAAAAAATATTTTATTCAGATGAACAGAAAAAATGACATTGAATCAGTTGTTTTCTTGAATCAGGTGCTTCTTCTGTAACTTGTGCATAGAGAGGTATTTGGGCTTATACGTATTAAATAAATAAATAAATCACCCCTCTGTTTCATGGAACTTAACACATAATTGATCCATTCCAAACAATTGTTCATGTGACAACACACATTACACATTTCAGAGTAATGGGCTGTCTGGAAAAGCAAAGCAACCAAATGTTTGCATATCCCACTCTCAGCCACACAAGAGCAGGAGCTATTAACTAGCAGACGATGGCATGGATCTTCTGACGGATGTCCGCTCCAGGATGGAGTAACACATAAAATTTTCTAGCTCTGAATCTCATGTTACCTAGAAAACAGAAACAAGAATATTAATAGGTTTTTAAAGGGAGTCATTAAAGGCAGTTCACTCAAAACTGAAAATTCTATTTCCTCATTCTTCACTTGTTCCAAACCTGTTTGAGTTTCTTTCTGATGTTTAACACAAACAAAAATACTTTGAAGAAAGCTGGAAACTTGCAACCACTGATATTCAAAGTAGTTCTTTTTCATACTATGGAAGTCAATGGTTACAGGTTTTCAGCTTTCTTCAAAATATCTTCTTTTTAAAGGCATCTGCAGCAATATCATCCGATTAAACTACACAGTAAATCATTAATTTAAATGATTTAAAAGTAGCTCCCTTTAGTCACACTTTAAAATAAGGTTTCATTAATTAATGTATTTGCTCACTATTAAAATAACTATTTAATATTTAACATTGTTAAACTAATTTACTAATGAATAAAAATCCAAAGTCATGCTTGTTAACATTAGCTATTACATTGTGAGTTAACAAGCACAATGAATAAGCATTTGTTCATTAATGTAAAAAACTAAAAAATATTGAAATAGACAAATTGTTGATGTGAAATTAACTAATGACACCTTATTGTTTTGGGTCACCCTCCCATTTAATTACAATGTTATCGACTAAATAGAAAGCATGCTATCTACACTGTTACACTGCATCTGTCATCTCCACTGTTTCAGCAATAAATATCAGCATTGACACAGTGCTATTTGTCTGTTGTGGATGGAACGGCATTGTATTATTTTATTCCTAATATATATCTTGCTCAATAATCATGCTTACAAGCTAAGACAGCATCTGTGTCTCTGTAATTATCAGAACTGAACAGTGGTGCTCACTTTAGAACAGTAAAAGTATGAATGGGACAGAATTTCACATGTATGCTGTCCTACTCTCAGCTGGTGAGGAGACTCCGATTTCTTCATAGATCTATCGGTAGTAATGAGCTCTCACTGAGATCTTATTCCTGCCCTGTTTTTACCTGACACTTTGAGACAGAATTACGTACACATATGATTATTTTTACTTACGTGATAAAGCTGCAGATGGACGGATCGTAAGAGTATTAACGCTAAAGTTAGCCTTCAGGCTAGCTGAACTTACCTTCATAATTGCACAGGTAGGAAGATGCATACAACTTGAAACCCTTCTCAAGTTTTGCTCTGCGGTGTTGTAGAGCACATCCGGACAATCATTTGCAAATCGTTGACCATAATTTACTCGCAAACAGCGAGTAAATATTGACGACTCTGCCATAATACTGTTCAACTCCGCTTAAAATCACCCAGACCGGAAGCTGGACCGCGGCCTTAGACAAAACGCGGAAGTAATGCGTGCATATAGCCCATTCCCAAACTGTGCCGAAAACACGCGGTGATACTTCTTCTTGTTGTTTTCGTATGGTGACATCCAAACGCACTACCGCCACCTACTGATATATGCGAAGTGACTCTCCAGAGTGAGAGTTGTCGATTTGAAGCGTCTCAGTCTCATTGAATCAACATGTTCTGATCAAATTCATTTGATTATTTCTTGATTCAGTTTCAAATAACATGAATTAATCATTTAACATACGTAAACTTGATTTGTTCTTTTCAATCTGACAAATTTTTATTTTGTAAATCCAATACATGCCTAGTTGATTTTTTTGAGTGTAGCATGACGCAACTTAAAAGGGAGGACACTCTTAAAGGAAATGGGAGATGAGACTCTGATTGGTTTATTCTCAAAACACACCTATATCTTATTAAGAGAATAAGCTCTACCCTGTTAAAGCTGATTTTTCCATTCTTAAAATAGCAAAAGTGGATCCGGACAAGCCCTTAATGCTTTTTGGACTTTGTGCCTAGATTGTCAAAACAGAGTCCATAGTGTTTGTTTTAACGGTGGGGGGTTAGGGTGTTGCAGGCCAGAGGGAAGAGGAGGGTGGGTCGGAAATGGCCCACGGGCCAGCAGTTTGAGACCATTGCTTTACAGCGACACCTAGCTGTCTTTTTTGTATTGCTCTGGAACAGTTTCAGCAAAGACACTGTTAAACAAATTAAACTCCATGTTGTTGAGTTGAGGCTTTAATTGATTTAGTGAAACGGTGATGAGTTCCACACTAGTATGCTGAAATAATGGGTTTGAATCTATGGTACAGCTATAGATGTTAGTTTTTAAATGCTCTTTTCTTGTAAAGTGTTTTGTTTTAACATTGGCCTGACATGCGAATAAACATCCGAATGTCTTGTTTTGGTCATAAAAATGTATAACACCTTGAAACATTTGCGATTGGGGATCTCGACACTGAGTTACAACATCACTGTTACAACAGCCATCCCTTGTGGCATACCTCATTGATTTCCTGGGATGTTTTCTTTTTCTTTTTCTTTTTTTCTGTTTTTAATAGCCATAATGGCAACAGCTAAAAAAGGAAGCAAAAAAAGTTTATGACAATGATCAAATGTACAATCTAGTTACCAGGTTGCACTCTTTTAGTGTGGAAATATAGTTTGCTAGGTTTTCATTCAGGGGCAGCAAAAGGAAAATACTGATGTATATTACTCTAAGCATTCTCTTTTAAACTAAATGATGCCTTATTGGTTAGTGACAGTGATACTTAAAGAGTATTATTTGGAGTACTTTTTGTCTGCAGTTTTTCATATACATTATTATGAATCTGGACGTACTACTTACAATGGAATGTTTTAAAAAGCTATGTTATCCACAGTAAATAATATGAATTCAGATGCATCAAGGATCTAAAAACACAAGGAGTGTATAAGGACAATGGGTGAAGAATTTATACTTTACAATAAAAGTTCAAGACAGGTAAACACAAGACAGGGTTCATAACAATTAAAAATAAAAAACACAGTGCATAATTCTACACACAATACCGCATATTGACAACATGAAATAAACTAGTCATAAACAAATATCATGTACATACTGTCCTGTAGCTATTCAGAGCCTTTTATACATACTTTTGTTATTTTAAATTAATGTTTATTTTTATATATATATATATATTTTTTTTTTTTTTACATGTTTGCCTTAAAGCTTTATTGTATTTCAAGAACAAATTTGTAATGTGACTATATTTGAACTACATTGACCATCATGTCAAAATCAAATCAAATTATCGTCTCTGATACTGTGGTTTGGGTTACAGGGTGGATGATGTCTGGAGGGGGATTGTAATTTCTGAGCGCTTAAGACTACAGTTGAAATTCACCTGGAAGGCACTAGCATTTTGGCTGATCAAAATATGTGACAATCTTCTATAATATGTGTATTAGCAATTCTTATTAAATGCTCATTCTTATTATATGCTTCTTATTATATAATTCTTATTATATACAAATTTTATATACTTATCTATTATTAATATAAATTAATATTATTAAAGCTATATATTATATACTGTTTTGCAAATACACAGTAATATGAAGTTATGCTGTTTTGTTTTAACATAATTCTGGGCCAAATATGGACTAAATTGTTGGCTTAAAAAATAATAAATAAATAAATAAATAAATAAATAAATAAATAATAATAATGATTATTATTGTTGTTGTTGTTGTTACACTTAAGAATAACTGCCCGTTATAACTAGTTAACTAACTAACTAGTTAACTAACTAACACTTAACTAATATACTAACTTACGCTTTACAGATCAGTTGTCATTTATAACTTGTTAACTAAGAGCTTGTAAGTTATCTATTGGCCATCTAATAGGCACAGTTTTATATATATATATATATATATAAATATATATATATATATATATATATATATATATATATATATATATATATATATATATATATATATATATAAATAATAATAGGCACAGTTTTAAATAATTAACAAACTATTAATTTTTATTTAACAAGTCATTCATAACTCATTAACTAACAGTTTATTAATGGACTAGTAACTAGTTAAAACGTATAGTTATTGTAAAGTGTTATTTTTATTATTATTATTATTATTATTATTATTATTATTTGTAGTAGTAGTATTTTATTATTTTAACCCAACAATTTTATATTGTCCTTATATATTGCCCAATAATAATAATAATAATAATAATAATAATAATAATAATAATAATAATAATAATAATAATAATAATAATAATAATAATAAAAATAAGATTATTATTATTATTATTATTATTATTATTATTATTATTATTAATTTATTTTTTAACCTAAAATCTACTTATGACAAACCCTCATTTTTAATGTGCAACAAAGAATATCATCTTATTTGAAATAGACATTGATGTAGACATACTTAATAATCAGTATGTGTGCTAATTATCTGCAGATAATCGATGAGGAAGACACGCAATTCATGACAAGCTGCCCACCCGCAGTGACAGAAAGCACTCCACGCAGGAGGACCAGGATACAAGTGTTCTGGACGGCACCCCCATCAGGTCATGGCTGTGTACTGCTAAAGTAAGTGCAGAGCTTAATTTGTAAATTGCGAGGTCTTGGAACGGATCGGGGTAGCGGATCCAGCATGTTATCAGAGCAGGGAGAGGTGTCATGGACGAAAGGGGAGAGCTGGCTTGGGGAAGAAAATGAGACACAAACTGTGAGGAGACACATGATTTTATAGTATACAAAGTTAAAATGCAAATAAATAAACAGTAATTTAATGCCCTGTTACATTTGTTATTTTTTAATTTCATACATACAACCACAATTTATACAATTGTAAAGATAATCGTGTTTATATAAACACTAAATGAGGACTTTTCCCTCAATCGCCGGGTCTAAAAGCAGCCTAAGTGCAGCAGGTTTCTGCCCTGTCTATTTTAACCATTAGCCCTGCTGGTACTCTGGAGGATTTAGGCAAACACAGGCGATATGTCTGAATGTGAACGAACTCCTGATAAAAGACATGTACACCATTCTGCAATTCTCGTACTGCTCTCCCGACAAAATGCTTGCTGCACACATACAACTTTGCTGTATCGGCACTGACAGGATCGCGGGGAAAGACATGCAACAAACCCCATGGATCATCGAAACAAACACATACGACCCTTCATGAACAGCTAAATACTGTGTGCTGTGGGTCCGTGGACATGCTGCCATGTGACTGGCTGATGAGAAATGTTCATTAACAAGCAGTTGAACAGGTGTACCTAATAAAGTGGCCAACGAGTGTATGTCCAAGATGAATTTCATAGAAATGGGACAATAAAGTATAAACAAACAATCATAATCCAAAGATGATTAATTGATTGATTGATTGATTGATTGCAATATTATACAATATAATCAGTAACATGTTGAAGCAACTTTTAAAGTTCATACTTGAAGGGATCAAGGAAGCAGGAACTGACGGATGTTTTAACATTTATGACAAAGAAATATATATATATATATATATATATATGTATATATGTATATATATATGTTTATATTTCTTAGTCATAAATGTTAAAACATCCGTCAGTATATGTATACACACACACACACACACACATACTCAGTTATTGTTATTTATTTGCCTTGCTATTGCTTTATAGAAAGCAATAAAAAGCATTTATATTACTTTGTTAAGAGATTCTAAACCAGCTGCATGGATTTTGCAATCACTCTTGGACAACATCTTTGTCAATACGTACAAAATTAGATAGTTCTGCAGATCATTGGTGGACGCTAATGACATGGTACAGGTATGTAGGCAGGAAATGGAGAGAATACGAACAAATTATGACCGCTCCATGAATCACTTGTTTTTCAGAAGGAAAACTATTTTAAAAATAAGTTGTGAGTCTCATAACTTTATATGGCTCACTGCCTATAATTTAGAGGGGCTTGAGACTGAGCTCCAGTTCAAAGTTCCTCCTGTGGACATAAACTGTAGAAAAGAAAAAAAAAAGTATTTCAGCTGTTAGCAAATAAAAAATGCAACACACACACACACACACACACACACACACACACACACACACACACACACACACACACACACACACACACACACACAAAAATAAATAAATAAAATAAATAAATAAATAAAGACAGCGCAGGGGACATGAAAAAGGTGAAATATCAAAAAAGTTAGACATAGAAGCATCAAACCAGCATGAGCGATGGAGAGGCCGATCTTCAGGCAGATGGGATATGGAAATATGGGGAGCAGGGCAGAAAAGGTGGACTTTGGGTAATGAACAAAGAGCCATGGTGTGGCTGCAGAACTCACGAGAGAATCCAAGAGGAGATGTTGAGCGCAGAAATGCTCCATAAAATCAAAACTTTCTCTGACTCTTATTTACTCCAAACACGATGGTATAAAAAAGGAGAAAACCAGCCTGACATTGCACAATTTAAAGAGAGCATGAAACTTTCAGCGGTGTGTCAAATTGTTTCTTCATGCCCTCCAGATCTCCCCTGCAGCCGAGATCTCATGATTAAAAACTTGAGAGACAAGTGAACTTGCACAGCCAGTGGGTGAAGAGTCGACAGTTTTTGCTGTTTATGTCTTATCTTTTTTCAGTGTAAGTTAAAAATAATTTAGCTGAGCCCCTGGAGTGAGTTTTTTTTTTCCTTTTACTTTTACCTTGGTATTACTTATTATTTCCACTGGGACAATTCAGTCTTGTCATATAAAATAACTCAATTGCAACAGTGCTGTGTGACTCCATTTTAATCGAGATATTCAAAGACAATAAAATGTCAAATATTCTGAATTTCCTATACAGTTATAGGACCACTTAAATTTTTTTATACTATATCACTTTTTTATCTTCTTTTTACTTTTTCAGTGAAACTTTACAAGTTTGTGCAATACATTTATTACAGTATTT